TGTGACCTCTAAAACTGGATTGCAATTTTTGTTTTTGTAAAGGCAGCTCACCAGAGGAAAAAAGTTGGAGACCACTGTGTTAAACGAATGTTTCAAATGTCTGAAAAATGCCTTCCTTATGCATACTTCCTATATTTTTCTACTTTTTTTGCAACTTTTTTCCACAAACCCCTGCTTAAATGAAGTAAAACTATTATAAATATTGAACAGAATAAGAAAAACATAAAATTATAAACATTTTAAGGTTTTACAGTCTTAAAGATGCTACAATCCTGACATCTCCTACCTTCAGTTTTTTCCCCTTTACTTTCGCAAATAACAAACCAAACTTGCATGAGCCGTAGTTACTTATCTTATAGAATGATCCAATTTTCCATAAAACCAGACATATATTGCACATTCTTGGAAAAAATAAAACTGATTTGGAGATAGGGGCGCGCTCCTCTGCGGGCTGATAGCGTATCTGATGAAACATTCATGCAGCATTTACATAGAAAACACCGTCTCCAATCTGCTCTCTTTTTCTAACTCTCGCCCCGTGTTATTAGTGGAGCTGTTTCTATCTGTCAGCCTTGTAACGGACAGCGCTCCCCGGGGGACCTGCTCTAATTCTGCTCTGAGAAACAAAAGGACACGAGGAAAACGAAGGGAGAAAAAAGTTGGGGAAAAAAAAAGAAAAAAAAAACATGCGAGAAGAAGAGAGATGGAGGAGGAGATAGGTGGAGACAGGAGGTGGGGAAAAGGCTGGACTGTAGAGCTACAAAATGGTGACATGTTCTATATCCAGTGTTGGGGAGTAACAGTAACATGTACCAGAGTTACGTAATCAGAGTACAAATTATGAGTAACTGTATTCAGTTACAGTTACTGTTTCAGTGAGTGGTAATTGGATTACAGTTACATTGTTGAAATAAATGGATTATACAGCGGTGTTTTCCTGTTTTCACATTTTGGGCTATATCCTTTTTTTTTCTTTTTTTTTCTTGGTAATTCTACTCATTGCTGGACACTAAACCAGGACTAAAACCAAGTCTAAACCAGGACTAAATCAGGATTGAACCAGGACTAAAACCAGGTCTAAACTAGATCTCAACCAGGTCTAAACCAGGACTAAACCAGGACTAAAACCAGGTCTAAAACAGGACTAAAACCAGGTCTAAACTAGATCTAAACCAGGTCTAAACCAGGACTAAACCAGGACTAAAGCCAGGTCTAAACCAGGACTAAAACCAGGTCTAAAATAGATCTAAACCAGGCCTAAACTAGATCTAAACCAGGACTAAAACCAGGTCTAAAACAGGACTAAAACCAGGTCTAAACTAGATCTAAACCAGGTCTAAACTAGATCTAAACCAGGCCTAAAACCAGGTCTAAACCATTTCTAAAACCGGGTCTAAACCAGGTCTAAACTAGATCTAAACCAGGACTAAACCAGAACTAAAACAGGATTTAACAGGAGTAAATCATGCCGCGCGGACCGTGTCTCCTCCTCTTTTATCAATAATATATTTAATACGGTGAAGTAAAGACTCGCCTTTTTATTTTCTTTTAGCAGACAAAACATCTTTTGTGAAGATATCCGAGTCTTTGCTTCTCTACAGCAAATCAAGTAATCCAAAGTATTCAGATTACGTTACTCACTTTAAGTAATTTAATGGATTACGTTTCAAACTACATTTTGGGGTATGTAATCTGTAATCTGTAGGGGAATACATTTTAAAAGTCACCTTCCCAACACTGTCTATAGTTTATATAATGTGGAAAGTCCCTAACATAAATAAAGTACAAAATAATAATCATAAAAAAGATCTATTTTTCAAAATTAAATAAAAGTGTACATACTCAAGTAAAACTATCACAAGAAAAATTCTGCTTCAAAAATAAAGTACCTGTTTAAAAATGTACTTCAAGAGCAAAAAGTAAAAGTATTGCAGATGGATTTTGAGATCTTCAGAGGCTTCAAATGTTTGGAGTTTCGTAAAGATGCTGGATTTTGTTCAGTCGAAACAATTGAACCAATCATTTTCACTCAAACTATGAACTTCTTAAAAACAAACCTTTCAAAGCTTCTTTTTAGCAGGTCGAAAGATAATAAAAAATACTGGAATTTATTTTTCAATTTTGATTCAAAAATGTAGTGGAATTGAAAGTTCAGATATCTGCTCTAAAATGTAATGAAGTAATGATGTAGTGAAAGTTTGACGTACTTAAATGATACACTAACTTTACTTTTATAATTTTTTTTTGTTTACTACATTCTACTTTTACAAAAGAAGTGAAATAACTTTAGATTTTGTGTTCAAATCCTCACAGTATCCACCCTTTGTTTTGTTGACAGAGCTGCAAACTCTTGGCCGTCTCTCAATGAGCTTTCTGATGAATCCGTGTGACATTCGTTCATTTGTTTTTCAAAATAAAACCAAAAATAAGAAAATGAGAAAACAACTATTTTCTTCGTTATTTGTCTTCAAAACCAAAATGAAAAAACAGATAATATATAGATAGTTTTCAATTTTGTGTGTAAATAAATAATGTAAAAAAAGGGATAACAGATCCTATTACTGAGATGGGCCCGAAGGTGTGTAGACTGTTGAATGATCATTACTGAGACCAGGACCAGACTGGGACCAGACTGGGACCAGATTGGGACCAGACTGGGACCAGACTGGGACCAGACTGGGACCAGACTGGGACCGAGACTGGGACTGAGACCAGGACCAGGCCGGGACCAGGACCAGGACTGAGACCGGGAATGAGACCAGGACTGAGATCGGGACCAGACCGGAACTGAGACCTGGACCAGACCAGGCCCAGACCAGGACTGTGACCATGACTGAAACCAGGACTGAGTCCGGGACTGAGACCGGGACTGAGACCAGGACTGAAACCGCAGACCAGACCAGGACTGAAACCAGGACCAGACCAGGACTGAGACCGGGACTGAGACGAGGACTGAGATCGGGACCAGACAGTGCCCAGACAAGGACCAGACCAAGACTGAGATAAGGACCAGACCAGAACTGAGATCAGGACTGAAACTGGGCCCAGACTAGGACTGCGACCAGGCCCAGACTGGGCCCAGACCAGGACCTGACGAGGACTGAGACTGGGACCTGATTTAGTCCTGTTGTAGTCCTGTTTTAGTCCTGTTTCAGTGTGTATGCGGTGCAAAAGTCTGGCATCTCAGTTTAAGTCAGAAACGGAAAACTTTCATTATCCCTTTTTTTCCATTATTCATTTAAACACAAAATCGAAACTGAAAAAAAAGTAATTGTAATCCGTTTTTTCATTTTAGTTTTGGAGACAAATAATGATGAAAATAGTTAGTTTTTTTTTTTCATTTTCTTATTTTTGTTTTTATTTTGTAAAAACCAATGAACGAATGATACAGGGATATTACATGGAAACAAAAAGGTATTTACAATATTTACACACAACAGCAGAAATGTGCTTCATAAACCACAAGCTCTAGATTGTTAACTTCTCTGTACATGTCCTGCCCCAGACTGACTGTAAGATGGAGACCAAGGTTCCTCCCAACACCCAATCAACACAAAAAATACTTGTACTAAACACTAAACCCAAATAAACAAAAATATAGAAAAATAAAAGAAAATACATTTTACAATATTGCCGTATCTTTGCGCCTGTAGCATGACGAGGGAAAATAATATGGATCATTTAGTGGGGGAAATGGCGTTTTGCGGTCAGACGCATGACGACGGAAAAATGAAGTGAGTGATGCGCTCGGTTTGACAGTGAGGCTTTTGAACGGGAGATGGATACTGGTTTTGAAATTTATTAAAGAACAAAAAGAAGGACATGGATGATTTCACAGCAGATTTTTGTGCACCCAAGACTACGGCGGTGGTGAACGGACATAAATACAGCGAAGAACGGCATGAACGGCGAGTGGAAAGCGGAAACACAACATTCATTGGTAGTTTTGATGCTTTCAGTGAGACTCTACGCAGCAAAAACTAGAGGGTTAAAATTTTAGGGTAAAATATTTCAGAGTTGTTTTTAACACCAAAAGTGTTATTTTATTTTATTTTATTTTATTTATGGGGTTATTTGCCAGAGTTGATGTAGTTGAGGTTAATTCAACTTCCTCTAGTGTTAATTCAACTTCTCTTAGATTTAATTTGGCTCGTCCCATTCGTCACTTCAAACTCTTTTGAGAGAAGACCAGTTTGAACCAGTTTTGTACATAATTTTATCTTAAATGAACTAAAATAAAGTAAAAATAAAAAGAAATAAAATACCTCTGTGTGTTGTTTTGCTAAATCAGGATAACTCTACAAAGTGTTATCTGTTTACTCTCAAATGTGAATATAACTCTAGATTTCGGGGTTAAACAAGAACTTTGGTCCAGTGTTACTTAATTAACATTTCCAAAAATGTTAAATTAACTCTAGAACAGATTGTACTCATATAAACTCTGAGAAAATGTTAAAATTGATTCTGTGAAAGTCAATTTTAACACTCCACTTTTTGCTGTGTACACTGTAAATAAAAAGTGTGTCCGAACTTTTGATTGGAAGTACTTTATTTAAGCGTAAACCAAACTAAATAAAAAAAAAAAAAGACCTAAAAATGAATACCAAACAGAGAAGAGGGAGCAGCAGACAGGTAGAGGAAGTGGAGGTGGGGTGAGGTTGTTCTGTGTACCTACCCTCAGTGCTGACATTGACTGATGGACTTGGCTCGCTCAGCATCTCTCCACGTCGGGACAGCAGACGCAGCCGGTACACACGGTCCTATACAAACACACACACACACACATAATGAAGAGCACACAGGGAGGGTCCCATATGAAACCGCACTTTGTCAACACGCGCTGTGCCTGCCATGCTAATAGGCCCGATTTGAATTTGTGTAGGCCCGAGCGCGTACACGGCTCCCAAATTGGATGGAAGCGATGGCTGACATGTGTATGCATAATTGTGAAGGGAGATAAGGAGAGGTGTAGGGCGGGAGATACTTTCAAGGACTGTTTTAGGACGCAGGAAAGACATACGTATAGAAATGTTTGGAAAAAAATAAGACACAAAAATGGTTAAGAGCAAATATTATGCATTATTTGTATCGTCAAAAGGTCTTTCAACATATTCTTGGATAATACGCCACAGAAATAAAATTGTCCCTTTTTAAAATAATGGTTATCTTCAGACATTAGACACCTTGTTCTAGAGGTGCGCTCCAAAACTGGGAACAGAGGTTAGGTCGCCATCTACTGGCAGCAAAGAAAATATCAAAGAACAACTCGGGTTAGCAAATTTGCAACATGCTAAAAGAAGCGTGTAGTTATAATGATTGTGATTTGGCGACAGAAATGTTCAGATTTTGATTTACGGACAGGAGCACTTTTACCTGTGATGCCACAAATCTGGTAAATTCAAAATGTTGTGTTTTTATCAGACTTAGAGGAAGAGACTTACTCAACAGACTTAAGGCTCAACATAATGCGTTTGCTATTACAATAAATTGCTTTTGCAGACACTCAAAACGTCTTTTAGGTGTCTTGCTCAGGGACACAACAGTAGTGTTGTAGTCAAGAACGCACTAGTCGAGGCCGAGACCTGTCTGAGACCACAGGGTACCGGGACCGAGAGAAGACCAAGATCTCTGAGGGTTGAAACCGAGACAAGACCAAGACTTTTAACGGTCGAGACCGAGACAAGACCGAGACCACAGCCCACCGAGACCAAATTGAGACTATCTTTGTCATTTTCTACATTTATTTGTATTTTACAGTTATTTTGGCACATTTGTATCAATGTTTTTATAAATCTATTTCCATTTGATCTGATTAATGTTCATTTAGGCTTAAAATTAGGTAAGCAAACTGTACTGCACTTAAACCCTCTGTTCCCCTTCTTTTTAACTGCTTCAAAGTTCTTAACTGGAGTCACTTTCTTTTGTTTTGAGGTGGTAGCTTATTTAGCCTATTTACCCATCGTGACAAATACAAATGGATTTGTGCACTTTTATTAGGTAAACTTCAACCCACATATCACAGTGGGGTTACTCTACACAAAGACACTGTAGCATATGTGGATTCGTTTTTGGCTTGTTTCGTCTTGCTCTTCGAGGGAGGAGAGAGCTCGGAATAGGCGAGAAGGGAGCGTTGACGTGAGGCAGACCAACAGGTAGGATCGTGTTTTAAAAAGTTTAACCTGCCTCCCACGCTGTTGCGGTCAAGCCATGCGCTGGGGCCATCTGTACTAATTTGTGCCGCGCAATGTCTGCAGGCTCCAGACGAGCGCAAAAGCTGCTGTGAGAAGCCCCGCGTCATCCTACACACCAGTACAAGTTGCAGACAGTAGCGGCCGTAATGAATGTGATCGCACTCGACCAGTGTCAGACCTCGAGTCCAAGACAAGACGAAGTCCAAGCGCCTTCAAGACCGAGACAAGTCCGAGTCCAAATGCGCTCAAGTCCAAGAAGAAACCAAGCAGGGTATCCCCAGGTTTGAGTATCCCAAATTTAAGACTTTTTTTAAAGAACCTTTTAAGACCACTTAAATGAAAATTAAGACCAACATTGCACCCATTATGACGGCAAAAAACACCAGATCCAATTCTAATAATGACCAACCAACTACCAGTGCTTTACCTAGAATCTAAGAGCCACTTTGGATTAAATCTACACTTCCACATGTCCATCCAATGTCTTCCTCCACTCTACTGATTGTTTACTCATTGCCACCGGCGCCACAAACCAAAGTATTGTTTGCGCATACTCCAAATAAGACGTTCATTCACATTACATGATTTCACGTTGTTGCCTTTTTGTTTCTTCCCTCCACTTAACGTCGCACTGCAGCCCGGTTTAGTCTACAAAAAAATAGGCTACTGAAATTTAAGACCTTTGTGAAAAAAAATGAGACTTGGACAACATAATTTAAGACTTTTTAAGACCTTAATTTAGAAGCATGAAAATACCTTTTTAAGACAGTCTCGAGACCAAGACCAATCTCGAGTACTACGACACTACACAACAGTATGCTTTTATTAAGACTACTTTGTATCTTAGCCTTAGTGTGGTCTATGTTTGCTCTAGTAATCATGAACACTGAATACCAAATGGTTAAAAAGAGTATTTGCGTAATCTAAGCCCTTTGTAGATGAACTGTGTAACTTGTCTCCAATGAGATGTTATTGCATTGCCAGGAGTGTGCCAAATACCTTGAAAAACATACATTCCTCCTCCACAGATCTGACCTGTAACTTGGCCTGGTCAAGATAAATAAGTGCCAACCTTGATCATTTCTGTAATACATGTCCTGTGACTTTGTTTATCTTCGGAAAAGGAGAAAGTAGACTGTAGATATCATGTTGCCGTGTCATTTTACAGTGTATTATTTTCCTTTGTTTCCAATAAAACTTCAAAAAAAGATAAATAAGTGTCATACTGAGGAAAATTCCAAGTAAAGAATAACATCTCCATGGAGACAAGCAGACAAGTTACACGGTTCCACCTCAAATAGTACAGCGACTCTTTATAAAATAGTTGTTTGAGAAGAGACGCCTGCCATGTTTTGTTCATAATTGCATTTTTACAGCAGCGAGGAGCCGGGAGCCGTAGCCCAGATCCAATTCTCGGGGGCCCGGCTGTGGACTGGGACTTGATTGGTCTCTGAGGGAGGGCAGCCTTACCTTGTGCAGGCCCGGAACCACCGTCTCACTGCGGTTAGGGCTGATCTGCTCGTCTACGGTCAGCCACTCCTCCTCATCCTCGGCTCGGGCCTGGAGGACGTAAGACCAGAGCGGGGGGGACTGGTCCAGGGGAGGGGTCCAGCGTAAGAGGACCCCCTCGCTGTCACGACCGGCCGACAGAGCGGACGGGGGGAGCAGGGTGTTCGACCGCGGAACGGCATCTGATGGAGAAAGGAGAAAATAGAAGAATAGAATTTAGTGATTGAGTGTGTTTACATGCACATGAGTATCCTGGTTATGATCAGGTTTTTTAAGTATCCCGGTTTCTTCATGGTGCATTTAGACACAGTATCCCAGTTTCAGTATCCTGGTTATGGCAGCATCCCGGTTATTAGAAACCAGGTTACTGTAGCTGGTTTATTCCGATAGTAACCGGGATACTGTGGCATGTATACGCAGTATCCTGGTTACGGCGACATAAAGTTGAGTGCACATGCGTCCAAAAGACAAACACTTTCCAGTCTTTTCACTGCAACAGTAGCAACATAAATAAAGTGACCATACATGAGTAAAATGACTCGTGTGACCTGCACACGTGTGATCGCTGAAAAGCTAAAACATGAACTATCTCCTACAGTACACGCACAGAACAGACTCACCATCATTAGCACCTCTTCTGTCACAAAAAGAACACACATAATTCACAGAGTCGTGTCCTTTAGTCCAAAAGAAGCTGAACCACATCAGCGGCACAAGGAGCAGCTGTTTTTATCGCCGCTAACAGTTTATGCTAATTAGCCATGCGGTCTTAAGTTTTGTTCCTGTAAAACGTAAACAAATGTGATCAAAGCTGAATTATATGATCAAACGGGCTGATGTGGCTCTATAACGGTTATGGTTTATATGTTGTAAAGTTAAGTTTATTTATGCAGATTTTAATGAAGAATCTGTTGGGTTTGATTTGTGCAGTGGATTGTGGGAGATCTCACAGCTCCTCACCGCTGGTTAAACCTCCCAACCTTCCTATAATAAAGGAGCTCATGGTTTGTATTTTTCCTGGTTTAAGAAATTGATTTAAGTTAATTTTTGTGCTTGTGCATTTGTAAGATTATGTCAAGAATCCGGGATACTCCATTTGATCATGAATACAGGGACATGAGTATCCTGGTTTCTCAGTGCGCATGTATATGCAGTATCCCGAATACTGACATAACCGGGATATGGCTAATAACCGGGATACTGATGTGCATGTAAACGCACTCATTGAAGCCTGTTACATAAACAAATTTTTGTTTAAAACTGTTGAAGATTGAAATTACAGTTTGAATTATTGCAAGAGGTAAGGTCTAAACATCGAAAATTAGTAGACACAGATAATGATGCTACTTCTAATTACTCACCACCAGAGCTAGTGCGAAAACTTTGGAGGATTCTGCAGCCAGTCCTCTGTATTTTCTACTAAAAGTCTAAGTATTATCCCTCAAAAATAACACATTTTGAATAATCAGAAGAAATATTACATTCATTACATTACATGAGATTCATTTATTTGTCATTTTCATGTTGAGAAAAACAAAACCAAATTGTGTTTCCCACTGCCACCGTAATTCAGTGCAACAGTGGCTGTAGTAAAAGTAATATAGAGTCCAATCAGAGTGTGTGATTTAACAGCCTCACCGCTGTGGGCAGAAGCTGGGGAGGATTATATATGCGGCTGGTACCAAGCCATCGGTCAAAGCCTGTTTAAAATGAATTATTAAAGAGTCTGTATCCAATTTCTCCCATGTATCTGAGCGAAAGTTCCCGTGCTCCAGTACAGATATATAAGCAACTCTTCAGGTCAAAATAAGTCCACTATGTACTATCTACATTTTATTATCCAAGAATCAGGAAATGTGGGTAAGCATGGTAATTCTTGTTAGCAGTTTGTGTTTTAACCACTGAAATCGTTCTGTTTTTCACATCTTTAAGAGCAGGTGAGATTTGTCTTGTTGGTTTAGATCAAAGGTCTTCAACAGGTGGGTCGCAAAATCTTTGGTTGATTAGACTTTTTTTTTCTTAATTTTTGAAGGATGAGAATGAACTGGTTTTCAGTGCTCAGTTCACGTCTGTCTCTCTCTTCATTCCCTCATCTCTCGCTCCCTGTCAAACTGCAAACACGTCGGCTCGGATATTATCATTTCTTGTTTGGTACATGTGAAGAGATCTGTTATAGTTTCACTTTTACGCACAGCGGAACTTAAGCTCCAAACGTACTGCTGCGCATCGGGAAGAGGTGAGGCAACTTCATTTCCCAGGCGTATTAACCAGGCTCTGGAGTCCGCATCCGCATCCTCTCTGTCTGTGGAGCGAGGAAGGGGTGACATATCTTTCCTCTCGGTCCTCAGATCAGAAAGGCCTCAAAAGTTGTCTGTTCCAAATCACTCTTGCCCCTGTGTGCTGTGGCTTCTCTCTCGTTCAGATCATTAAAAAAGTCACACTTCAAGCCCATTTTCCGTGATGTTGTTGCTCCATTGCTCTGGTTTTCTCAGAGTCACCACAAGTACGAAGTGCAGCTTAAACTTCAGGTCTGAATTAGCTTTGGTCAGACTCATTTCTGTCATGGAACAGGTTGAAGCTTAAACTGGAGATGTTAAGCGACTTCGATGAACTATCCCCCTAGTATTGAATGTACAACAACAGAGTAGCTGTTTATACATGACGCTAGGCCCAATTTAATATAAAACACAATTGTACGCCATATATATATTACGGGGTCCGTGTTCCAGCTCTCCATCAGTTTTGGTCCCTGGCCTGAAAAACGTTGAAGATCCCTGGTTTAGACCTCGACAAGCATTCTCTGAAATGCAGGGAATTTTATTTAGCATTTCATTTTTCAGTTTTTGTCAAACATGAATGCTCCAATGTGTTTAAAATGGATCATGTAGTGACTCATTAATTATTTTATAAGTGGCAGTATTTGTCAGACGAACAGCAATTACATTTTTTTCTCTAAAATTCGCCATCCTATTCAGACACAGATGTTCACATTGGAGAGGCTGAGCCAGACTGCATCATTCAAGTGATCTTAATTGTTATTGACGAAATGTGGTTTCACATTTTTCATCACGATAATACATATGCAGACAAAAACTAAAATAAGAACTAAATAAAACGTCATTAAGCTCAAAATGATGTTTGATGTACCTCTCGTCCAGTCACCTTTTAGTCCATTCAAGCCTTCTTCCTGTTTCTATACCGACCACAACTTTGTCTTTGTTAGTACAGCAGTAGAACTATAAACCTCCTCATTGTCTCCACCTCCTCATCTTCACCATCACTAGTGTCTGGACCCACAATAAAGATATACCGTATATGTTAACATTAAGCACGCTCTGTCTGAGGCTTTGTCAGGTTAGAGTTTAATCTGATTTTTATTTTAACCCAATCTAACCTGAAGGAATTGACTTAATTGGAACCAGTGTTGGGAGTAATGTGTTATAAAAGTAACAAATTACTGTAATGCGTTGCTTTTTGCTGTAACAGAGTAATGTAAGGCATTACAGGGAAAACTGTAATATTTTGCTCAGTACAAATGTCAGTAACGTTCGTTAAAATGCTTTTTTAACCTGAACTGAAGTGGTGGGTTTTTCTTCATACAAATTCGCTAAAATCACCGCAATATCAGCAGCAGTCAAACGCCATCGTTATAGTTCCAAATGTCACGACGTACCCGGAGGTGCACCCACGTAGACCGTTGGGTGATCGGGCGAAAGGACCGGTGCAGAACTCCATGCTCCACGGGGCAAATCGCAGCTGTCGCCCGATCACTCTTTGTGTACACCCTGCTCCTGCGGTCCTAGATTCCAAGTTCTAGTCCAAGATTATTCCTGGTTTAGTCTGGTTTTAGACCTGGTTTAGACCTGGTTTAGACCTGGTTCAGGACTAAAACAGGACTACAACAGTACTGAGTGTCGGGATGGGCCCGGAGGTGTGCCCGCATAGACTGTCGGGTGACCAGGACTGAGACCAGGACCAGACCGGGACCAGGACCAGCACTGAGATCAGAAACAGACCAGGACTGAGACTGGAACTGAGACCACGACTGACTGGTTTTGTCCTGGTTTAGTCTTGGTTTAGAGCTGGTTGAGTCCTGGTGTAGTCCTGGTTTAGTCCTGGTTCAGTCCATATGCAGTGCAAAAGTCCAGCATCACAGTTTAAATCACAGAAACAGGAAATTATATATATATTTTTTCCATTACTCATTTAAACACAAAATCGAAAACTGAAAAAATTAATTGTTATCAATTTTTTTTCATTTTAGTTTTGGAGGCAAAAAATGAAGAAAATAGTTTTTTTGATTTCTTATTTTTGGTTTTATTTTTGAAAAACGGATGGTCGAATGATACATGAATTGTGCTGTTTAAATCCACTTAGTATTTTCAGACAATCTAAAATCTTTTTTGGCAGTGCTTTCTAATGTGTGCATCGTGTTTCCATGGAGACACGAAGCAGCTGGGATGAAGATCAGCTCTTCTAAGTCTGAGGCCATGGTTCTTGACCGGAAAAAGGTGGCTTGTCCTCTCCAGGTGGGTGGAGAGTCCCTACCTCAAGTGGAGGAGTTCAAGTATCTCAGGGTCTTGTTCACGAGTGAGGGGAGGACGGAACGTAAGATTGACAGGCGGATCGGTGCAGCGTCTGCAGTGATGCGGTCGCTGTATCGGACCGTTGTGGTGAAGCGGGAGCTGAGCCGAAAGGCGAAGCTCTCGATTTACCGGTCAGTCTTCGTTCCTACTCTCACCTATGGTCATGAGCTCTGGGTAGTGACCGAAAGGACGAGATCGCCGATACAAGCGCTCGAAATGAGTTTCCTCCGCAGGGTGGCTGGGCGCTCCCTTAGAGATAGGGTGAGGAGCTCAGTCACACGGGAGGAACTCGGAGTAGAGCCGCTGCTCCTCCACATCGAGAGGAGCCAGTTGAGGTGGCTCGGGCATCTGTTCTGGATGCCTCCTGGACGCCTCCCTCGGGAGGTGTTCCGGGCATGTCCCATCGGGAGGAGGCCCCGGGGAAGACCCAGGACACGCTGGAGGGACTATGTCTCTCAGCTGGCCTGGGAACGCCTCGGGGTCCCCCCGGAGGAGCTGGAGGACGTGTCTGGGGTGAAGGAAGTCTGGGAGTCCCTGCTTAGGCTGCTGCCCCCGCGACCCGGCCCCGGATAAGTGGAAGAAAATGGATGGATGGA